AAACCTCTGCCCTATTCTAACTTCTTTATTTTCTTTTTCTTTTTTTTTCCAGAATGGCAAAAGAGATAAGGCAAATATAATTTTCAACAGCTCTTTAGGAGTAATCTTTGGTGTGAAGAAATACGCTGAAGTTCTTTGGGAGGTAAGAAGTTTGTACCTGTTATTATGTATTGTAAAAAGCACTCATGTTTTTCCATGAGATTTAGAGTAGTTCTGAATATGTAGTCATAATTTCTTTAAATTATTTCATGTGTTTTATTGTATTTATGGACTTAAAAGATGATTGATTTTTCACATCAGGTAATCATGAAGACATGATTCAATCTTATAGTATTTTTTAGATGGTTGTTTTTTGCTTATGAATCCCTTTTTCCTTCTACTTTATATTAGTATACATGGCAGTATTTATTACTTATATTTTCACACTGTCAGATTTTTTATTTGATTAAGCAGATATTGATATAAATTGAAGCCTCCTGATATACTTACTGTCACTTTTATTACTTACCATCACTTTTATTTTCATGGTAATGTTGCTTATATGTGATATCTGTATTACTTTTTGGATTCAGTAATATGTGAGATGCACAAATGCCACCAAGTTCAACATGTGGTTTAATCTAATTTCAATTTATGATAACAGTAAGACACAAGTTCCTCTCATTTGCATGAATATCTAACTAGTCCTTTACTTTACAGTGCCATGAATTCTACTAGGAAGAAACTGTTTGGTAGTTTCTTATATTTCATTTATTATCACCTTTATGACAATTTTCTTTTAATGCAAAATATTATTCTTTGTGCAGTTTAGGATGTGTTCATTGTATATAGACACAGCTGCAAGATGTTATATTCTTATTAACACACAATTTTTCAATACAATAATGGTTCTCTCCAGGTCGTGAAGGAGAGGGACCTGACAGTAAACCTTCGTCACAATTTGGTTGAAGTCAAACCTGACTCGAGGGAAGCTGTCTTCCAGAATCTTGACAATCCTGAGGAATTTAAGACATTTGAGGTAAATATGTAGTGATTTTTTTTGTTTTATGTAATATAACATTTTGAAGGATCTGTTTTAGTTGTATCTTAGAGAAATTCTGTTGTGAATTCAAAAATTTATTTAGAAAAAAATGGTTTTATGGTTAACAGATTATATATTTCTTTCTCAGTTGTTCAAAACCATGTGTATGAATTGATACATATTATAAGCAAAAAGTCTTTTTCTGCTTCCTTTCTTTCTTTTCATATATACTGAATAATTCAAATTAAAATTCAGTAGCCATAACAAACATAGGAAAAAAAGTGTACAGTCTGGCTAGACTGAATTGATTAAGTTCTTTATTTTACCATTTAGTTTTTGTTGAATGATACATGCATGTTCTAAAGATCTTGCAATAACATATCCATGATCATTTGCATTATTGTTTTTATAACTAACAAGTGTGTTGGTGCTAGATACCCATTTCATGTATAACTTTACCTTCCAGTATGAAATGCTTCATGTAACGCCTCCAATGAGCTCCCCGGATGTGCTGAACCAGTGCACTCCATTAGTGGATGGAGCCGGGTATCTCAACGTCAAAAAGGAGACTATGCAGCATGTCGATTTCCCTAATGTGTTTGGTATTGGCGATTGCACTAATCTTCCAACGTCTAAAACTGCAGCGGCTGTTGGTATGCGTTTTAGAGGTTTCATTTTCATAAATGCAGATTATAAATGATCTGTATGGGGTTGTTGTTATGAGGAGGTTTTTGTGCTTCAAAAGAAAGATTTGAAGTATATGAGATTTTTTTTTCTTTTTCTTTTTTTCTTTTTTTCTTTTTCTTTCTTTCTTTCTTTCTTTTTTTCTTTCTTTCTTTCTTTCTTCCAAGCTAAACTATAGTAAACCAGACATTAGCTCCTTTTTCTGCAATGACATGGTAAGCTAAAGTTAACTAAACAAGGATTAACAAAGATATATGTACTGAAGATGATACAATGAATGATAACCCTTTTACCCCTTTCCATAGCTGGACAAATCGGAGTTCTTCGTAAGAACTTGAGTGCCGTCATGGCAGGAAAAAATCCAGATTCTCTTTACGATGGCTACACCTCATGTCCTCTTGTCACAGGTAAGAGCCATTAGATCTGTGAATTCTCATGAAGATACATCATTTAATATCTGCATTATCAGAATACTTAGATTGGCATAAAAGTGTGTTCATGTGTATATTGTAATTTCTTTTATCTAAGGATATTTCATATTTGTAATTCTGTACTAGAATGGTTGTGATAACAGAGCTCTTTGCCATGTAGCCATTTATTATACTTATTCATGTTAGAACATATCATTTTGCTTTTATTCATTAGTAGCAAGTTAATGTCCTTCTAGCACAAGATAAGCAAGAGAGTGATACTTACCAGTGAAAATGTGGTTGAAAGAGAGTACTCAACATTTTGTGTGTCATTTACTTTAGAGTGTTAGTACTGTATATGTAGTTGCTCTGATGGAATTTGATTCTTGACTTTAGTGGTGGTATTAGCTTCAAGCACTTTGGTTTTATGAAAGTGAGATAGAAAGTATTTTCTCCGATATATGTTTATGAAAGTGAGATAAAATGTATTTTCTCTGATGTATGTTTATGAAAGTGAGATAAAAAGTATTTTCTCTGATATATGTTTATGAAAGTGAGATAAAAAGTATTTTCTCTGATATATGTTTATGAAAGTGAGATAAAAAGTATTTTCTCTGATGTATGTTTATGAAAGTGAGATAAAAAGTATTTTCTCTGATATATGATACAACTATTGGGACGTCACATTTGATAGTCTGGACACTGGCCACATATTTTATGATGATTTGATAAGTAATGGAGATGAATGGTGCTAGAGAGGAACGCTCTACATGATATATATGTTACTAGGTTTACAAGAGATTTATGGATTTGCATGTTTTGGAAAAAGAAAAGAAAACAAAAATAGAAACTTCTGTTCTCTCACTATTTTCTGCTAACGAAAGACTTAATTTTTATATCAATTTGAAAGTATTTATTGTTTTTTTTTCCTTTCTTTTCCAGGCTACTCAAAATGCATACTGGCAGAATTTGATTACGATGGCAACCCTCTCGAGACTTTCCCCATCAATCAGGCAAAGGAACGACGCACCATGTTTCACCTGAAGAAGGACTTTATGCCAGATATGTACTGGTTAGGTCTGCTCAAGTAAGTTGAATGTAACTGTTCTTTTGCCAATATTATAGTATTCGTAGATTAAGTATTGAGCTCTATATATTATAGTATTTGTAGATTAAGTATTGAGCTCTATATATTATAGTATTTGTAGATTAAGTATTGAGCTCTATATATATGATATTTTTCTATTTATTTATTTCTCCTCTCTTTTACAGTGGATACTGGGAAGGTCCCAAGTATTTCCGCAAAGCAATGCATCTTGGGTTGAAGTGAAGAAATTGGTGTTTGCAAAGGAGAAAAGTGAGAAGGTTTACTTTGTCTAAATTCACATGAATATCAATTTTAATGTATATATCCACACACATTCACCCACATACATGCGTGCACTCACACTCACACTCACACTCACATTTACATTCACACTCAATAATAGCTGAATACATGAAAAAATAAAGTCTAAACATTCATACTTAAAATCTGAAAAGGTTTTCATGTGAAAGTAAACAAGGTCCAACTTAGTCATATTAGTCAGTCAGCATTTTAGTTAGTGAGATAACAGTTTGAGGGCCAGATTTGTGTGTGGTAATCTGTGATACAGATCATTGATATAATTATGCACGTTGCAGACTACAAGAAACACCATCACTGTTTGGATATACCTTCTTCTTCTCCTTCTTCTTATTCTTCTACTTCTTCTTCTTCCTCTTCTTCTCCTTCTTTTTCTCCTACTTCTTCTTCTTCTTCTTCCTCTTCTTCTTCTTCTTCTTCTTCTTGGATGAAAAGCACTTGACAATATTGCAAAGAGGACAATGATAACACTGTTAAACTACTTCATAATTTTTCCTATCTTTGTAATTTTTTGGCACTATATTTATTTTGTTACCATTAAGTGTATGCCAGGTTAAATAAAAAAGAAAATGTATATGTACTGTATAAGCATGTTTGTTAATAATGGAAATACAGTGCATGTTATCTAAGAAAGGAATCATTTTCTCACTTCACGCTGATGTATTGATAAGCTGCAAACTGTTCATTCAGTAAGTTTAGACAATCATGACTATTATACTGATCATAGGATATCATTGCTGTATCTTTTCCTAATACTAAAACGTTTTAGAACACAATTTAAAGTCTGTCAGAATAGCACAAATAGATTGGGAAAGGACAAGAATGTTAATATTTTTTAAATCAGAGAGTTTATTGTTAAAATATTTTCTGTTGTAGTTTACTTGAGAGTATAATGCTTTTGTTCTGCAGTAATGAATCCTCAAATGGAAATATTTGTAGGGTTTAGTGCAGCTAATCTTCATCAACAATGAGGACTATTACATGACACAGGGTATTTGTCTTATCTACTATTATTTTAATAGTGAAATGTAAGGCTAAAAATATATATATTTTTATGCTTTAAGTCAGATCAAATGGTTTAACTCACTAGATTATATAAATATTAATATATGATGGTGTGTTATTAAATATTTTAAATATTGCTGCAAATGAGCCCACTAGTTACTTATAGCACAAGTTAAATAGGTGGGTAATATCTACTTGTATGGAAAATCCCATACCTTTAAATTTATATGGTTGCAGGAAACTACATAAAAGATTACTTCCATTATCAATTATTCTACACACACAAATTCATCTAGAAGGCATTGCAACTGCATGGAAATGGTACAGAACCACAGATGAATGAATAACCATGCAATTTTGAAAAAAGTTTGTTAGGTCACACATATTGCTTGCCTTTTATAGGTTTCAAAGACTGCTGCAATCTTGTGGATAATCAGAAGAGAATCCTGTGATAAATAAAAGTAAAAAGAGGCAG